AACGTAGCGTCAATACAAATTCAGAAAGTTGCAATATACGACTCGCATCGTAAAATAATTAATTTAATTTTAAGCAAATCATTCAGATATTACAACCTAAAGTCATCGTTTGTTTTTCGACGCATTTGTATATAGTTAATATTTCATAATATGTCAATTATTTGTTTTATATACAATGCACTGTGTATCTGACACTTGTAATCATTCAAAGCATCGAGAGCTAAGAAAAATGGCGGCCAACTATTTCGGCGTTTTAAGTGCATTGTATATAAAACGAAAATTAAATGTAAACTATTAACGCATGCGTCGAAAATAATCGATGACTACAGATTGTAATATCTGAATGATTCGTTTGAAATTAACTTTTATTTCTTTACGATCCAGTTGTAAATCACAACTTTCTAAATCGTAGCGATTCAGTATAAGTCGTTTTTAACAATTTTCTCCTTATAGACGCAACAAATAGAAGTAAGATTATTAGCGATCAAAAGCGATTATTTATCGCCGTAAGCCTATACACCCTTTCATTTTTCGCGAACAGTCACTTAGATTAACATATCACCTTATATGCTGCTGCATTGTCGATCTGAAGGAAAGAGAAATATTCCCAACTAAAAACACGAACCATTCTCAAATCTGAAAATATAAAATACAATAATTTAATGGATCTGCTGTCTGTACTGTCTGTACTGTCTGTATTCCAATTAACACCAAAATGGCTTAACCGAACAAGGCCAAAAATTGATGGCCCCTCGAATGACCCAAGGTATTTCTTAGGGGCAGTTAAAAAATGTATCTAACAAACATTACTCAAATGTTTAATAAAATCTGCCAACAGAAACCGAAAATTCTGCGAAACTTCTAATTCTTTTTAATCAAAAATGTTCGCAGCTAAAATAAACAATAATTTTAATATTTGCAATTATATATTTTCAACATGTCTAGTTTGGGGTTTGTAAACGTACTGCAGCGGATTGTATACAACCAAGAATGAGGTACAACTGTATTTAATGTACAGCGTACTGCGTACATGTGTTTAAAACGTTTGGTTTAGAACTTAAACCAAAGCCGGTAACTTAACAGAGATTTATGAAACGAAACTTTCGAGTTTCCTGTATGATACAAGTTCATTTTTGAAAATAAAAATAAAGAGAATATATAGAAATAACCAGATTAATTTAATGTATGATTTAAATAAAACTATAATACGTTTCCCGATTAGGGAGGGAAACCCCAGCCGCCATGAGCCTCCCTGATTTGCTTTGCAGCACCAAGCTTCCGCTTTGCAGTCCAAATTTTATACTAAATCTTCCAAAGTTTTTTTTTACGCGAAAAGAAGAAAACAATTTCTAACATGAAATCGATTTTATTAAATAAAATCTTTGATTTGAGAAATAACTTTTACGTTGATTTTTTTATTGAGATAGCTCTTTAAAAATAAAACTATAATACGTTTCCCGATTAGGGAGGGAAACCCCAGCCGCCATGAGCCTCCCTGATTTGCTTTGCAGCACCAAGCTTCCGCTTTGCAGTCCAAATTTTATACTAAATCTTCCAAAGTTTTTTTTTACGCGAAAAGAAGAAAACAATTTCTAACATGAAATCGATTTTATTAAATAAAATCTTTGATTTGAGAAATAACTTTTACGTTGATTTTTTTATTGAGATAGCTCTTTAATATAATAATAATTTTCCATTACAAGATTTTCTAAACTTAAATGATTTGTTTAAGAAAGGTATCTGCACTTAACTCAAAGATTTTAACAAATCTAACCAAATTCACTTTATAACTTGTTGAAGTTTTCATATGAAATTTATACTGCATAGCGGAGGCTCGGTGCTGTATAGCAAATATGGGAGGCTCATGGCGGCCAGGGGCAAAGAGAATAGAATATATATATTTTATTCTCTTTGGCCAGGGGTTTCCTCCCACCTTTAGACGTTATTTCAAATACCCCTTAATTTTTAGAGCGGCATTTAAGATTAACAACATCATCATATAAACATTAGACCAGGGGGGATGATAGTTCTCTACCTGTGTGCTCAGTTAGCTGTACTGTACACTTACAACTGTTTACTAATATTGATATACTATAGGTCAGGCCAAGCCAGAATCAACTTATAATAAACAAATATGCAGTACGCTCTCGGTATAGTTTATGGCCTATACAATTAGTAAAGGGTTAGCGTACATCATCACTCTATACACTATAACCTCGTTGATTAGCGTACATCATCACTCTATACACTATAACCTCGTTGATTAGCGTACATCATCACTCTATACACTATAACCTCGTTGACTTAGACTGATAAACGCGACGGAGATATTTCTAGTGTTCTAGCTGAAAATGAGGCCAGGGAAATTCGAGTGTACGTACACTCAGTGTGAGTAAATGACTTCACAAAGATCCAAAAACTGATTGTATTCAATCAGTACTGTCTTTTTTTTAACCTATGTGTATGAATAGAGAATCTAATTTCAATCCTAAAAATGCGATTTACAATTTTCTCTTTTTACATATTTTGCGAACACTCCCTTTATAGGAGTTCCTATTCAGGGGCGGATACAGGGGGAGCAGGACCTTCGCACCCCCTCACGGATTCAGGTGGGGGGGGGCGCAGCCCCCCTATGAGATTTTAGAATAGCTCCTCAATAGCACCTAAGGGAAAGAAAACCGAGTGCAAAACAGGAAAAATATCTACCATAAAAAAATTCTCCTGTGTCACGTCTTTTTGTTCCTAAATCTGGATTTTTTGGTTCTGATATAAATCTAACACACCCCTCACTTATATCCTGTATCCGCCCCTGTTAAATCCTATTCCGTAAATCAAAGATTTACGCGGCATTCGACTTTATGTTTCTCCATAAAAAGTATTTAGTCTAGTATTAGGAATCATTAAATACAGAGTGAACAGAAAATATGGAAATTACTAGGTTGCCAACAAGTTCAGAGACGACCGTATAGTTTTTATTGAGTGATAATTCTAATATTTATGGTTGTTGTAAGCTAGTTTCAGGTCGTCATTAAATGCTTATGCTTTGTGGGAATCACTGTACACTGTTTATATAGTGAGAGCATGATAGTTAACGGGCGCAAAATAATACAATTGTCTCATTGAAACTTGACGTAAAATTAGTTTTTTATATCTCTAAAATACGATGAAATTTAGGCAATCGCCGTTTTTTTGCGCAAAAAAATCCTTATGTAGCGCAGCACCATAAATTCTCAAATCACATTCGCAGGGAAAACCACAATCAATTTTTGCACAGAAATCTAGGATATCTCACTCAATCGGACATGTACCTCTATAAAAAGAGGATCACTTTAAGATATGGCTATAGTTTCTTTAATATAAGAGTTGACAAAGAAAATATAATAATTTTACCAGAATTCGACTAAGGGAGCTTAACAGCTTTATTTTTACAGCTTAGAAATCATTTTTATAAATAGTTTCCTAGCCCTCCCCCC